AATATACTTTACATGTTCTTTAATCCTTATATCTAAATTTCTACCTGTTTGGCCTATGTACACGGCATCACAGTATTGCAATCCACCCTATATACACCCGACTTATTTTTGACATTAGTTTTGTCTTTATTATTTAATAAAATTTGACCTAAATTTCTTTTATTTACGTTAATAGTTTTACATCCTATTTTATTGAGATTATTTGATATTTTGTTAGTTAAATTAGGAATGTAGTTTAAAGGTTGATAATTGTTATTGTCTTTAGAATTAGCGGATTAAAAATTTTTCATTAATATTTTGTTTTGTTTTTTCTTTAGCATATTATCAATAAGGGAACACTTATATCCATTGTTGATGGCGATTTGTTTAATAATATTTAACTCTTTTTTAAAATTCTCTGGGCTCAGTGGAAACATTACTAATCTATGAATTAAACTATGAAAGGGTGACATTTTGATTTGCCAGGATTGGTGTGATTGACTATGTATTACAGTGTCTGTGGTAGTGGGTTTTCTGTAATTTCGGCAACAATTGTGACAATGTTAACAAGGTGGTAAGTACACAAAATAACAGTCTTTTTGCATTTCACCCTACACTTATTAATTTATCAAATATTACTTTTTCAAATGATGAAATTTCAATATTGGAAAAAGGATTAAAATATTCCCCAGCTGTTTTTAACAAAAAAGACATAGAATTGCTAGCAGTTAACACCGAAATCGCAGTTGGGACTTTACCTCATGCCTCAACATGTAATAAATATCGCATACTAGAAAATTTCAATAATTGTAACAAATATTTAAAAACTAACAGTAAAGAGAAAAATATCATACAGTCTATAACCAAGAAAATAAATGATAACAATTTAATAATTACAAAAGCCGATAAGGGCAACACTATAACAATTCTTACAAAAACAGAATATGATAAGAAAATAGCTGATATTTTAAATAGTGGAGATTTTACTAAAATTTCTGATCCAACATGTAATTTTCAAAAACAAATTCTTTCTATTTTAAAAAATAACAAATCTATATTACCTAATAACAATGAATACTATGCCAAAATAATGAATCCTTCACCCCCATTACTCTATGGTTTACTAAAATTACATAAAGACAATAATCCAGTTAGACCAGTCGTCTCGTACATAAATGCTCCCTCTTATAAATTATGTCAAATACTAGCTAAAACACTTCCTTCCATGATCAATTTTCAATCAAAATTTGCCATAAAGAATTCTTTTGAGTTGCTAGATAATTTGAAAAATATTGAAGTTCCACATAATGCAACACTCGTTTCTTTCGATGTCAAAAGCCTGTTCACTTCTATCCCAACCCATGAATTGTCCTCTATTATTTATGAACTAATTGATAAATCTAATCTTAATATAATAGTAAAATCAGATTTAATAACAATAATTGAAACTTGTTTAGAACAAAACTATTTTCAGTATAACAATGAAATATTTAAACAGAAAGATGGGTTACCGATGGGTTCCCCAATTTCACCGTTATTCGCAGAAATATTTATGGCAGATTTTGAAAAGAAGCTATTTAAAAACAAGAGTAGTTTAATATCAAAAATAAATTATTGGGCAAGATATGTAGATGACATTTTTTGTATTTGGTCAGGCACCGAGAGAAATTTAAACAGTTTTTTAACATTATTAAATTCAATTAACCCGAGAATACAATTTACTATTGAAAAAGGTATTAATACCATCAATTTTCTTGATGTTACAATTATAAAACAGTCTAATAGATTACAATTTGATATTTACAGAAAACCCACTACCACAGACACTGTAATACATAGTCAATCACACCAATCCTGGCAAATCAAAATGTCACCCTTTCATAGTTTAATTCATAGATTAGTAATGTTTCCACTGAGCCCAGAGAATTTTAAAAAAGAGTTAAATATTATTAAACAAATCGCCATCAACAATGGATATAAGTGTTCCCTTATTGATAATATGCTAAAGAAAAACAAAAGAAAATATTAATGAAAAATTTTTATTCCGCTAATTCTAAAGACAATAACAATTATCGACTTTTTAAACTACATTCCTAATTTAACTAACAAAATTTCAAATAATCTCAATAAAATAGGATGTAAAACTATTAACGTAAATAAAAAGAAATTTAGGTCAAATTTTATTAAATAATAAAGACAAAACTAATGTCAAAAATAAGTCGGGTTGTATATAGGGTGGATTGCAATGATTGTGATGCCGTGTACATAGGCCAAACAGGTAGAAATTTAGATATAAGGATTAAAGAACATGTAAAGTCTATTAATAATCTCCAGCATAGTTCTGGTCTTGCAACTCATTGTATAGTAAATAATCACAAAATTAATGAAAACTCAATTAAGTTACTACACAGAGAAACAAAAGGTAGACGCTTAAATTACATTGAACAGTTAGAAATACTAAAATCTGTTAAAAACGAAAATAATGTTAACGACCAACAAGGATTTCTAAACACATTTTTTATTACCCCTATTGTAAACTCTCTGAACCCACCCCCATAGTAAATATATATATAGTTACAGTGTAGTTAGACGATTAGTTCTTAAAAAACTCTTGAAAAAGGCCTAACAAGCCGAAACATATATGTTGAGTTAAAGTTACTCTTATTAAAAGTTTTTTGAAACATCTAAAAGCGTGCTTTATTAAAATACTAATACAAATACAAATACTTTATTGCCGACCAAAATGATCTTCCCGATCACAAAGCAACGTCACAGAAAAATACTATTACTATATCTCCGAAACTAAGATTTTAGGACATACATTTAGACGAACTTTTTTATGTATCTTTATCTGTAGAATATGTATTTTTGGACTTATGCGTAAAAGTGCTTTACTTTTATGCCTAGGCGTTAAAATGACGTTTTATTTTGTCACTTACGTCTCATAAATCACTTTTGTAACGTTTTATTTTTTTTTAAATAAGTTTGGCTTGGTTTAAGTTAATTCTCAAAACTTAATAAAAATAAATATTGACTCCATAGTGCCATTAAATCATTTGGTAGTCAGCTATTACGGAGACAGCAACTTTCTATCTGTACTAATAAGCGAGAAACTTGAACGAAGAACGAGAACACATGAGAATGGGACACACTGTACATATATTTTCTTCTTGTGCTATCGACTATCATTTTGATGTTTTCCCGTAGTAAAAAAATCGATAAAATAGTTTATTATCTATGTAGTCCCTATTTTTCAAATCTTCTCTTTGTCTCCATATCCATCAATCAGGATATCGATGCGTCCCCCAGCTGTCTTGATTGGCTTGACATACCGAAGCAAATAAATTCTGTTCAGAGTCGTTAATCCTTCTGCGACCTGACGAAGCCATTTCCGTGACTTGATGACGATCCATGTCCATTTCTATTCAATAGATAACAATAAAAATACCCTAAAAAGAGAGCCAGCGGAAGAATGAACTGAGCCGATTCTTTCGAACGATGCTTTGTACTATCTCATTTTTTATATCTTTCTGTCATACGGTCTTTTTTAATAGTTTTTGTTAGAAAACAAATCTTTTATAGTTAGACAATTATAATGAAATTATTATTTTATGAAAAAGAAGAGACTAAATAGTGGACAGACGCATACACAACGAGAAAAACTGTTTTAGTCGAAAACGTTTAGATGCGAGCAAAATAGTTTTTGTCTTTTATAAGCAGCCCTGTATATTATTGCACTTTTGTCTTCCTTTCAGATCACGTTACATAATCCTAAGATTTGAGTAAACATTTATATTTTGATAATTTCAGATTATGCTTAGAAAAGTGCATTAAAAATTTTGAAATACTATAAACACAAAAAATGTTCATTTTTTAACTCTCCAATTAATAAAAAATAATATACAGGGTGTTCCTTTTAAAAAACTAAAGAAAAATTATTTTATATATTAGAAAGTTTGGCGTAGAATGTTGAACACCCTGTATGTTTTAAGATTACGATATTTATAGCAAAGAAAGTATAGACTGTTAAAAAAAAAACAAAATAAAAACACTAAATCACCACAATACCAAAACACTTTTACTTTTACACTGGACGCGCGTGTCGCTAATAAATAATAATGATTATAAACTAAACTCAGTTTATAATCATCTGCTGATGATGCTAACATGGTTAGCGAAACGCGCGTCCAGTGTAAAAGTAAAAGTGTTTTGGTGTATTGTGGTGATTTAGTGTTTTTATTTTGCTGTGTAACACCAAAGGTTCCAACTCTCAACTGTAATATAGACTGTTACTCTGACTATTGTTATAATCTAAAGTAAATAACTAATAGAGTTTTGATTTGAGGACAGTTCTTACATTTGTAATAATTTTTTAGGAATGTTTGTATCTAAATAGATATATTCAAATCTTAGGATTATATAAAGTGATAAGAAAGGAAGCCAAAAATGCAATAATATACAGGGGGTTCCATTTAAAAAAGTCATCCTGATCCACTCATACTTTTTTGGGCCACCCTATATAAGTTAAAATATTTTCACTAAATGCATCCTTATTTACATTATTAACAACGTACGTAGGCTTTGAAGATTATCAATATAGAGAATTAATTATAATGTTTTTCATTTTTATCGATAAATATATATTATTGTTATAAAAGGAAGGAAAATCGGCACTAAAGTTTAGAAAATATTTATATTTATGGTATTTGTTCCCAAATTCTAGTTTGAAGAAGTATATCATCAGCTAAATGTGTTTCAACAAAAAAGCAACAATAATAACAATAAAATTATATTCATTTATGGAATATCAATTAATTTTCCTTAAACAAACAAATCTTATCTTTATGTGTCCATGTAATGTAACACGGGCAATAAACTAGAACTCCCAGTATACAACCATTTGCAACTATTTGTTCTAAAACGCTTGATAATAATTGTTTTGTTACTCCATAAACAACCAATGACATAAATTTAATAATAAATATCTTACCGTTTAATTGTTGACCAATTTTATGTTTCAGGTTTCTGACTATTTGTATAACTGGAGCTCGCAGCTTTTTGCAGGCGACGAGGTAAGATTACTTTGACTTATTAATAGGTTTAACTTATAAGTGGCTAAACGCACGGATGCCTTATTAGGAATTATTAGTAAACGATATAGATTTGGCCTTTCCACCGACATGACATTATAATTCTTTATGTGCTTGCTATGAATTATCTCTAGTCATGGAATTACTGGTGTTATATTTAATTTATTGTATTTTATACGTGTTGCCCCAGAAATAAGTGCAAGCATTTTAAGGGATGGTAGAGATCTACCATAAATACATAATAATCTATATAAAATACATGAGTAGATACTCAAAAGAATCATATTTTCTCGTTACCATTTTTAAAATAAACTGAAAATAACCGAGTTATTTAACTTTGAAAATTTAAAAAAATAATGGAAACATTTTGAGAACCGCTGGCTATTAAGGCATTTTCAGCTTATTCGACGCCGTGTTGCCGGATGGTCAAAAAAAGTATATGCAGAAACAAATTGCAAGACTCCATAGTATACGAAGGGTTTTGCAAAGATACGTTACTAATATTGTGTTATCACACAAAAAGGAAATAAAAAAACTTACCCACAACGTCAAAACAAAAATACCGATGGAAGATCGGTGACAATTCTTTTTTTTTCATTTTTTATCGTAATGCTAGAGTTAACTAAAATATACATACAATTTACTTCAATGCTCTGCTTCACTGCATGTTTTATAATAACTGCTAAAGCAGCCATTAGGTCTAATAAAGTCTCTAATCTCTAACAAATTATTATCGTGAAGTTCCATCACATTATGTGAACCACTGAACTTCTCCTCCTCATCCTTCCTATTACTCTATAAGAGTATGGTGACATTATGATATTGCATTTATTGTGCCTCTCCATGTTGTTCTGTCTTGCGCAGCAGTACTGGCCTCGTGCAGATTGTGACCTATTATCGTCTTCATTTGGTCCACCCAACGGTTTGGACATCTCCCTCTAGGACGTTTCCCGTTTACTTTCCCCTCCACAATTAGTTTTTCTAGGCCATTGGTGTTCCGGGATATGTGGCCAAAGTATCTTAAGTATGATTGATTTATTGATATCGACCGTCTGGATTCGATATTCAGTTGTTCGAGTATTGAAATGTTTGTACGGTGAGATGTGTACGGTATTCGCAGCATCCGTCTATAACACCACATTTCAAAAGCATCGATTTTACGTTTCATTGCCAACTTCAATGTCCAGGTCTCTGAGGCGTAAGTGGCAATGGGGAAAATTAGGGATCTTAGTAGTCTTAGTTTATTTCTAATTGAAATGGCTGAATCTTCACATATTTTATTGAGTTTGGTCATGGAATTACGTGCTATACACAGTCTTCTCTTGATTTTTGCGTCACATCCTCCTTTGTTTGATATCAAGGAGCCGAGATATATATATTGATCTACAACTTCGAAACCTGCTATTTCTGTTGTAATCGTGGGTTCTCGATCGATAATCATTAATTTTGTCTTTCTTTTATTTAGTTTTAGCCCATATCTCTCGCTGACAACCTCTAATTTATGCATAATGGATTTTAATTCATTAGCGGAGGATGCGAGTATAAGTATCATCTGCGTACCTTAAATTTGTTATTTGTTTACCGCCTATAGTAATACCGCCGTTGTAGTCTTCCATAAGTTTCCTCATTATAGATTCGCCACATATATTGAAGAGTAAGGGAGATAAAATGCATCCCTGGCGCACTCCCACTTCCAAGTCAAATGCATCTGAAATGGTGTTATTTACTCTTACTTTTCCTCTGCTGTTCTCATACAGACTTCGGATCAGCTGGATAAGGTGTTGAGGGACTCCCACGTTTTCTAGTATAGACCAAAGTTTGCTCCACTTAATACAATCAAATGCTTTGCTGTAGTCCACGAAACACAGATGAGTCGGGATGTTAAACTCATACGCTTTCTCGATAATTTGTCGGACGTTTAATATTTGCTCTTTAGTACCTTTGCCGGGCATGAAACCTGTTTGCTCTTCAGATATTTCTTTTAGAATAAAGTATTTTAGACGGCTTTTGATAATCTGTAGCAGTACTTTGCTAGTGTGATTAATAAGCGCTATCGTTATATAATTAGCGCAGTCAGATTATGTGATCGATCACATTATGTGAACCATTGAACTACTGATTCACAAAACACATCGACAATCGCACACCACTTTTAATAATTGAAAGACTATTTTATTCTATTGAAACTACTAAGTAATATGGCCATGTTGATGTTTTTCAGTATATGGAGCTGAAAATAACTGTAAAAATATAAAAAATTTCTATTCGTAAAAGTAATTAATGTGTTTTTTTTTAAATTAATAGTAACAGACACTGATAAGATTAAAATATTAATAATTTGTTCAGAATTTTCAATTTGAATTGTAGTTTGTGTATAAATTTAAAATTACAGTGTAGATTGTTTAGGAGGTGGCAACATTGCAAGATATTGCAAGATAGTAGTAACAATTGCAAGACAGATACGCCGCGCCGCGTCCTAAAAAAATTTCAGTTGATGTGGCACTAAAAAGTTTTTTATAATTTCCCGGAAAATTTCAAGAAATTTACAAAATTTTCAACAAATTCAAGCCACAATTTTCTGCACTGTTTGGCGAACAAAAAGTGCAGATCAGCATTTCCATAAATCCCAATATTCTTAAATATCCGATCCACGATTCTATCGCGTAGATGTAAATTTGTAATGAAAGTAATTTGAATTAGAAAATGGTAGCACAATTTATATAACAATATAATCTAATAATCATTATAAAATATTATAGTCAATAGTCAATCTTTTTTTTCACCTTCCAGTGTCTTCTTCGCCTCTGAGGTTGGCGACTGTCATTCTGCTGACCTCTCTTATATCAATATTATTATCTCATGAAGCCAATATTATTACCTAATAAATCATTTTCAAGAATATTAATGTTTTTGCCTATTAAGAAAATTCATTTAGCTTGAAGGGTAATTTTAATTTATTGACGACTAACAATTTATTGGCCATTCTGCATATAAATTAATTATTTGTTTTCTGAGTTACTTACAATTTGAAACGGATAATAACAAATAAATAAATAGATAAATGGTAAATACCATAATATTACAAACATATATTTCTTGTCATATCTTAACAATCCATTAATAATTCATTTAGGGCTCTTAGTTAATATCATATTGTATTTTGACATATTTTAACTAATAAAAAATATGTAGGTCTGTAAAAAGCCTACAGGAACAGAGGAAATATAAGATTTCATTGTCGTTATTTCCATTGATATTTTACAAGATTGTTTTACATTTGAAGGCAATTATCATGTATGATTTATATTATTGTGTTATTTCAAACAATACGATTAAAAATTAATGCAATGAACTTCGTAGTCAATATTTTGTTAGTAAATTACCATCGCTTTCTGGTCTCTAAAATAACGAGTTACATAAACTTTGAAACTAAGCAGATTCTACAAATATGAAAATTTTCTTCTTTTCCCAAGATAATTGCAGTTTGGCAAACTACAGTTTTGCAAACTAGAGTTGTTGGAAAATGTTTGAAACTCCTCGCCCTTCTATACTTCATGACTGATTAAATATATAAAGTTGGTTGGGAATTGAGTCATTTATTCCGCTAAAACTTTTCAATACTTATCCTGCCTCACAATAAACCTTAGCAGTTTAATAATGAACATCAAACAAGACAGTCTGGTTAGATTAATCGTTATCTGAAAGAACAATTTAATCCAATTTGGCAAACGGACAGGTTTAGGCTCAACACAGACAGACATAGTTAAAATAGAATACTTACTAACTAGAATAGTTTAGAATTGAAACGCTTTAATGAAACTTGGAATTAAGCTTAACTTATAAATGGCCCGTGTGGCAAAGATTGACGTTTATTCCCAGACCGTTTCTATGGTTTTGGATTAATAATAATCTTCTGTAAACAAATTATTGTATATCCTCTAAGGACAGGCGTCTATATTTCTAACTATAGTTCCTTTAATGATTCGGCGAAGACATGTATAGGCGACATTCAAAAAATTACGGTAACTCAATTTACGTTTGAATTAAAATGACAGAAGCACCGTTACTGTTGTTAGATCTTCTTGTTAAATAGAATATATAGGTACTTTAAAAATACCCAAAGTTATATTCTCTATGAAAAGTTACGAGTATAGTCGAAAAAAAATACGTTCTTCATCCTTGTCCAATAATTCTTAGTGTTTGGAATATTTCAATTTATTTCAATCAAGCAGTGTTACAATTTTTTTCGACTATTTCTCCAAGCATTCATTTTTCTTCTTTCGCTTCTCACAAATTTTTAATTCATTTTCATTCATTATTTCTCGATAACCTTTATCAATTTTATTCTTTTTATAAAATGGAAAACAGATTTCTTCTATTTTATAATTTGGCTTGCCTGAAAAGAAGCCTTTTTACTATCGATAGTTAGGTCGGTGGTACGAAAGTACTACCATTGCACGCAGATCGCTATCTCCCGTGCGGGATTTACTATCTAACCGCTACTTTCCGACAAGTCGGAATTAGATACTCTGCGCTGTGTTTGTCATTTTGTGGAATCGACCCAAGCTCACCTGATGAAGGTTGATCCACATTATAACAAACACAGTGGAATTAAATTTCTATATCAGCAGTTAAATGGCAAGAATTCTTATATAATTTATTATTCTTCTTTTTATACTTCCAGTCTTTAGTAAGTTGCTACTCTTGCTCCGTAAAATCCTTTACCCAATTATATTTTTAATTGTTGGTGTGCACTGAACAAGCCTAATTGGAAAAAAAAACAGAATATATATATATATATATATATATATATATATATATATATATATATATATATATATATATATATATATATATATATATATATATATATATATATATATATATATATATATATATATATATATATATATATATATATATATATATATATATATAAAAGAATCCGTGTAAACTATGAACAATTTTGTCTTACCTTTCTG